TCTTGCAGAAAAGAAGGACCAATGTTGTAGATACTTGTTTACTTCCAGAAAAACTCTGGGAATCAGCTTCTACAGACATCATGCAATGTTTATTTTAACATTTCTACCTACCTTTTGTATTATACACACTACAAACATTGATGGGGAGTCATTTTACCTAATTCCAACAAATATATTGAGTGAAAAATACATAAAATAGAGAACAAGTTCAAATTTACTCTTTAGAGGAGGATGTAAAATTTTCTAGCCCAGAGACTCTATGAAGCTTATAACAATAGCAGGGGGATCCAGTGTTTATAATATCTCTTCCTCAAGTTGTGAATTGGTAGGTTGCAGTCATTCAGAATTTCCCACTTTGTTACATCCCATTTTTGGCACTTGTCACAGTCAATTCCCTGTGTTATCCTGAGCTTTCAATTGTTCATCCCCAGACTTGGTATGTACAATATACACCTTTTTAGCTATGTTTCATACACTAGAGTGTAGCTCTCAAAATGTTTTGTTCTTGTGTTACAGAACTAACTTTGTCCAAAAAATGATGTGACATTCTTTTTGCCCAGTTAGTGTAATGCTCACTGTTGATGATGATTTGGAGAATGTTTTCAGGGTCCCAGATGCATTTCCAAATATAGACATCTATCCAAAAATAGCCAGAAAATAGTGGCACAATCATAGAAAATTACAGGATGTTCTCACTGGTGGTGATCACATTGGCTACTGTGTTCAGGGTCCAGGGTGGATCCAAATATAGTAATCTATCCAAAAATAGTCATAAAATGTTAAAAAATCAGAGAAAATTGAGAGATGATGCTCATTGTTAGTGATGATGTTGGCTAACAGTTTCAGGGTCTAGGGTAGACTTCCAAATGTGGTAATCTACCTGCATATAACCAGAAAATAAGGAAAAAAATGAGAAAAACATAGAAATGTTTTTCATTGATGGTGATGATGCTGGGGTACTTTGTTTAGAATTCAGGGCAAGATTCAGATAGGAAGATTTACTTGTTTGTAATAAAAATGTACCCTAAAAACAGAAAAATGGAGAAAAAAATAGAAATAGGTTACTATTGCCCTTGCAAAAGAGGACTTGTTTTTGCCATGCTTGCAATGGCCTCTTACACAAGTTTTTTGGGACAAACAGGCATATAAAGATGTGGAAAATATCTTCTAGCTGCTAGCAAGTGTTTCTGATCTAGAATGTTTTCTAAAATGGAGTTATAGTTTAGCCAATGGTGTAAGAGAAGAATATAACTTATGAGGTCTTGGTAAGAGATTGATTGACAGGACAGAATATGGAGAACACAATGATAGAGCAACTTGCTCGATTGTCTAGAAACAGGAATGTTGGTAGCAACCAATGCAAGACTGTCCCACATGAATGAACAACTAACAGTCTGCTTGTTGCAATCCACTGACTCAAAGTCACATAGATGGCATTTTGACTGACTAAAAGTCTGATCTTGGGCCTTGTAGGTTGGTGGACAAGGGTGGGAGGGTGCACTTATCTTTGGACCAGACTCCCAGCCTTGGAGAAGTGGAGAGAGAAGGGGAACAACATGGACAGTAGATAGTATATGCCTAGTGTTTGAAAGTTAGGTTAGTTAACCAGAAAATAACTGGAAAATAACCGGACCTAACCACAACACTAACCTAACCATGGTTAGGGTTAGTTGATTTTGAAAATGGAATAACCAGTTATTTTGCGGTTAACTAACTGTTAAATAACCGGTTATAACCAGCCCTATTATACACCTTCAAAACGCACTTGAGAACGTCGAAAACACTTAAAATTTGACTAAGTTACGGTCAAATCTCTAAAATATCACTCAAATGTGTAGACTTTCAAGGATAATTGCATAAATATGTCAATTCTTCACCGATTTTAGCGTTCTTGGGCTCGTTTTAAAGCTAGAATATGCAGAAATAATATCTATCAAGATACATATGAGCATATTTGCCTTGTTATAACCAATTCTTTATTTTTCGGTCCTAACCGGTTAGTAACTGCAAATAACCGACCGTAACCGGTTAGTTGCAGTCCGGTTAGGTTATTTTAGGTTTCGGGACAAAGGCTAACCGGTCTTGGTCTCGGTTAGAGCCCCTGGGCACCCAATAACTGGACCTAACCGGACTTTCGAACACTATATATGCCCAACCTGAATATGAGCAGTGTTTGGCAGCACCCACCACAGTCAACAACATCAGACAGACATGCAGAGTGACAGAGTTCCTTGTTCTCAATCAAGGTTCAAGCATGTTTACAGGCACTTGTGACTTACTCATGCCTACCACAGGTTGTCAGCAGACTTTATGTCACTGGTTTTTGCAGACCAGACTTTGAGTCAGTCATTCTCTGTGCCATACAACCAGACTATAGTTGGCTGATTAGATCAGAGCTCGATCACTCGCGAACACTATGACTGTGACATTTACTACTACCCGCAGACTATAGGTTGCTAGCTAGTTTATTTGATCTGACTTTAGCCAGTCTTTTTCTTCAGATCTCACCAGACTGTAGTTGGTTCACCGGCGGTGCAAGTCCATTCTACATCGAATGAAGCACACCCATTTCGACCCCAGGGCACCTGGAATTGTGTCTTCATCACGTATGCACTTCAGTCAACCCCCAAGTACTAACCACTAGCTGGGATAAAATGGCAAAGGTGGTGTAAGTCTTAACCCTAGCTTGTGGTCAACCCTAACCCTAGCTTGTGGTCAGCCCTAACCCTAACTTTGTAGTGACTTTATGGTCAACCCTAACCCTAACTTGATGGAAGTCTAACTTTGGTAAACTTTGTAGTCAACCTTAACCCCAGCTTGTAGTGAACACTAACCCCACTTTGTAGTGAACCTTAACCCTAACTTGGTAGTCTAATCTAATTGTTGTAGTCTTTTCTATTCTATCAGTAGACTTTGTATTCAACCTTAGCTAACCCTAGCTTGTATTCAACTCTAACCCTAGCTAACCCTAACCCTAGCTTATACTCAACTCTAACTATAACTTTGTAGTCTGTCAGTGTCAGTTTCCCTTTAGGGCATACACCTTCCTTTTTTGGTCATTTTCCCCACAATACAATAATTGTAGCCCTTTCTTTTAGCTTTCTAAATGTGTTGAAATTATCTTGTTTGGTTTTGTATTCATAGAGAAAAATGCAAAAAAAACAAAAAAAAACACAGCACTCAGAACAATCTTTTACATAATATCTCCACAACAGGAGTACTTTAGAATATAATTTGACCAGATTCAGTAAGCTACAGTGTAGAGCTACAACTTTTAATTGGTCATGTGACCAATATCCCAACATTCCATTGGATCGACCCTGATGGGTAGAAACATCTTTATCTTGTTTTTCTTCCATTTTCATCAAACTAGCTGAGATTTTCTTTTGTGAAGTGTACTCTGAAAGCAGTTCCTAGCATTTTCTCAAACTCCAAGCTCATCATTGGAAGCAGCAAGTCCCTTATAGCTCCTCTAGATACTGTAGGCCAAAGCTGCCTAGTCTGGCAGTTGCTAGCTGTGATGCTAGGCAACTACCCATAACTACTGGCTTAAACATGTTATATCAGTGCTTGAATATATCTGCAGAGGCTGGAAAAGGTGAAAAAATAGCTCACAGTTTTTTATAGAGTAAGGACCCCAGACACTCCTGTGACTCTGGAGGAAATATATATATATGTGAGATAAAAAAGATCTTTTCAGAACAAGAGAAAAGATCTTTTTGTGTGACAGTGGATAAAAAATAATACATGACAATGAAAAGATCTTTTTGCAGTCAGGGAAAAGATCTTTTAGTGTGACAGTGGACAAAAATATATATGTGACAGGAAAAAGAGCTTTTTGTATGCAGGGAAAGGATCTTTTGGTGTGACAGTGGACAAAAATTAATACGTGACAGGATCATTCTGGAAGGATCTTTTGGTATTCAGGGTCCCAAAAGATCCATCCACCATCTTACTCTTAGCTGGGATCATTTGCCATTTTATCCCAGCTAGTGGTTAGTACTTGGGGGTTGACTGAAGTGACATACAGTTGAGTGCAAAAAGAATGAAGGTTGGTTCATTTTTCTGGTTCTTTCTAAGAATCTATTGTACCTCAAATGTATTTGTGTATCCTTTTACATTATGTAGTTGTGTTACACCTCCTTTGGTATGGACTAATTTCAGTGAAAGCTGGAGCCTTGAGAAGGTTTTTATTCTGGAGGCCATTTTTGGCATCTGAAAAAAAAAATATGCGCTAACTGCAGAGGTAGCCAGAACATACCTCTGGTCAACCTGAATGAGCCTATCAAAGAATTAGTTAAAAATACTGAGCAGTTATGCTTGTAGAGCCTCCAGAAAATGGTCATTTTGTGCAATTTTGGTCATTTTTGGCCTGTTTTAGACAAAACAAGCCAT